ACCTGGTTCCAGAAATCAAATAATGCATAAAACTCTAACGGCTCCTGCCAAGGGAGCAGTTTGACGTCATTTACGCCTACTTCGGCGCAAAGCACAACGCAGGAATGGTGTGTGAGGGCAAAGTTCTCCATTCGACAGCCACGCTATGTGTCTGGAAGCCGAACGATAATCGGCGTATCGTTCACGATTACAATAAGCTAAACACTGCCACCATTCCGGTAAAGACGCCAATTTCTAGGAAGGATGTCCTTCAGAACCACATGGTTAGATGTACAAAGCACAGTGCACTCGACTTGGTCGATGGAGAATACCAATTGCCCAGAGAGCGAGTGATATTCCGCTGTCAGAGGTGAAAACTTTGAGCGGCATGCTCTGGGGGTGGCTGGTGATGCCCAAGGGCTGTCAAATGCACCAGCAACGTTTAAACGTCTTGCGACGCAGTTGTTCAGGCATCACCGGGCGTATGCACCGACATACTTTGATGACGTCTACGTCCACAGTCGTGCGGAGCACGGGAGGACAGATAAAGAGAACCACATCGTTCATTTGATAGCGGTGCTAAAATTGCATGCGCACGAATAAGCTGTATACTAATGCAGATAAGTGCATCCTTGGCGCCAAAGAAATTCTCCTTTAATGGTGCTTCAGTGGGGAGCGTGGCCTTCCCGTAGACCCCACTTAGGTCAAGGCCATTGTGAATTAGCCGGTTCCAAAGAATCATAAGGACTTGCGCAAGTGGCGAGGCTCGGCCTCGCCGACTTCTTGCACAAGTATAGCGCGAACTATGCGAAGTGGCACGGCCGTCGTCGAATCGCCTTTTGTAAGAATGCGGAATGGTGTTGGAACTCGAGTTTGACAAGGTTAAAGAAGACCTACTTCATGGACCATTACTGGCATTGCCAGACCACAATCGTCCTTACAGTACCGTCTGTGACGCTTCAGACTTTGTCATCGGCTGTGCACTGCTGCAAGCAGGCGCCGAAGGACGCGATCGGGTGATCGCGTTCGAATCTCGCCAGCTTAAGGCTGAGGAAAGGAACTACCCAGTCCACGACAAGGAATTACTTGCGAGGAAGTATGCACCTGTCAAGTTCAGGGTGCACCTGCTGGCCCCCATGCAGTTTATGATTTATACAGATCATGCGTCTCTACGCACTGCGACTCAGTCGCCCCACCTCTCGCAGAGGATAAACAAGTGGCTCTAAATCTTTGCAAAATATAACTTTGAGGTGAAGTAAAAGCCAGGAAAGCAGAATGCTTCGGCTAATGCGTTGTCATGCAGACCGGATTATGAGCTTGCGCATGTGACGGATTTGATCAGCACCCTATACGCGGGTAATAGTATGTGTGTACCGCTGCTACAGGCTCTCGGAAGCAAGAGCCTTGAAAACTCGGACATAAGGTTGTCGGCGCGATTCCGCGCACGGTTGCACCAATATTCGTTGAATAACGGCTTGCTGTACTATAGCACCGACTCGACGTATACGCCACGAATTATGATTCTTCACTATGAGAATTTGAAGTACGGTATCCTCTATTAACTACATTCTGCTCAGTACTCATCTCGGTCGTGAGAAGACATACAGCACTCTGGGTTGCCACGACTGGTGGTCCAAGCTGTACAAATGAACGAGCACATATGTGCGCACGTGTGAGACGTGTCAAAGGTGAAATTCTCTCCGAATGCGGCAGCACCGCTGGCCAGTTTATTGGTACCCTCCGGGTGTTGGCAGCCCATCAGTATGGACCTTGCGTTTATCCTGCCGAAGGTCTCGACGGGAAAAACGGGTGTAGTGGCCTTTGTGGACAGTTTGAAAAATGGTTCATCTTGCGGCAGTGCCGGACATCATCGACGGTGTGGGTACAGCGCCGCTGTTTGTGGATCGTGTCTTTCGACAACAAGGACCCCCGGAGTCTATTGTGGTTGGCTGAGACCCACGCATCACTGGGAAGTTTTAGTCGACAATCTTCAGGGTGCTGGGCACCAAGATAACTATGTCATTATCGGACTATCCGCAGACTGATGGTCTTACTGAACGCGTTAATTGCGTCTTCGAAGACGTTCTTCGCAGCGTCTGCGTTGAGACGCCGAGGCGAGGGAGCGCCATGCTGCCACTTGTGGAGTTTGCTCTGAACAATGTCATGGATGTGCCTGCCGGCTACACGCTGTTCTACACGGACGGGCTCATACGCTGACGCTCCTATCATATGGCTCAGTCTTTGGTGGGAGAGGAATAGCCGAGCGGCTAGCTAATGTCAACCCCCTCACTGTGCGTA